AAAAGCGAAACTTTCAATGGTTTTGCCCATTTGTAATGTTAATATATACTGATGATTCTGTAAAGTCCCTCAGACTTAGACAGACATGGCCCTGGCAGCATACTTGTCTGTTTTCCCACTTTTGTCTGTTCTGTAGTATTCTTTGGACTCAGACAGACATGGCTCTGGCAGCATGCCATTTCCTACTTTTGCCTCTTTGAATATATGCTGAATAAAATATTGCTTTTTGCTTTACTTAACTTTGTGAGTGTAGTAGTTAAGAGCTTAGCTGCTAACCAAAAGGTCAGCAGTTCAAATCTACCAGATGCTCCTATGGGACAGTTCCACTCTGTCCTGTAGGGTCGCTATGAGATGGAACCAACTTAATGGCATCCAACAAACTTTGTGATGTTTTTACTCTAGAACAAAGATCGTATTCATATTCAATTTTTACTGAATTCTCTTATGAAAAATTTCAAACACACAGAAAAGTTGAAAGTCTAATGTAATGAACACCCATGTATCAGTTGTTAAGGTTGTGCTATATTTGCCTTATCTATATATGTATGGGGGCTCTGGTGGTGCAGTAGTTAAGAGCTAGCCTGCTAACCAAAAGGTTGGCACTTTGAACCCACCAGGCGCTCCTTGGAAACCTTATGGGACAGTTCCACTCTGTCCTGTAGGGTCGCTATGAGATGGAACCAACTTAATGGCATCCAACAAACTTTGTGATGTTTTTACTCTAGAACAAAGATCGTATTCATATTCAATTTTTACCGAATTCTCTTACGAAAAATTTCAAACACAGAAAAGTTGAAAGTCTAATGTAATGAACACCCATATATCAGTTGTTAAGGTTGTGCTATATTTGCCTATATATGTATGGGGGCCCTCGTGGTGCAGTAGTTAAGAGCTAGCCTGCTAACCAAAAGGTTGGCGCTTTAACCCACCAGGCGCTCCTTGGAAACCTTATGGGGCAGTTCCACTCTGTCCTATAGGGTCGCTATGAGTCGGAATCGACTGGACAGCAACGGGTTTGGTTTTGGTTTTTATATATATATTTATTAGGAGCCCTGGTGGCACAGTGGTTAAGTGCTCATCTGCTAACCGAAAGGTCAGTGATTCGAACCCACTAGCCAGCCACTCCACGGGAGAGATATGTGGCAGTCTGCTTTCCTAAAGTTTACAGCCTTGGAAACCCTGTGGGGCTGTTCTACTCTGTCCTATAGGGTCATTACCTGTTGGAATCTACTTGATGGCAAGTTTGTTTTTTTTTTTAAATTTATGTGTGTGCATTTTTTTCTGAAACATTTGAAAATAAGTTGCAGACATTGTGACGACTCACCTTAAATACTTCAGCATGCATCTCCTAAGAAAAGGATATTTTCCTACATAACTATTTATCATATCTAAGAAAATTAATAATTCCCTAATATTACAAAGGAGCCCTGGTGGTGCAGTGGTTAAGAGCTTGGCTGCAAACCAAAAGGTCAGCAGTTTGAATCCACCAGCTGCTCCTTTGAAACACTTTGGGGCAGCTCTACTCTGTCCTGTAGGGTTGCTATGAGTCAGAATTGACTCAGTGGCAATGGGTTTGGGTTTGGTTTTTAAAATTATTGAATAGTCAATCCATATTATAATTATCCCACTTCTCATACCTAACCTTTAAACAGAGCTACAATAATTCTTCATATTGTAACTCTCTGACTCCCACCAGAGAGGCTAGGCCATTTAAAAAGACATCCAACAAACTTGAGAAGGACAAGCGTCTACCTGTCCTTGTGAATAAATGTTGCTATGGCTGACACTGGGATTGGGGTGATGGAAGAATATGAGACAGTTTGAGGTGGTGGATTAAATAGAGAAGAAGGCACCATTTCATTTTCTTCCTTTATTCTCACCCCATTTCAGAGACAGCATCATGGCCTCAACACCCTAGCCTTTGTCTTAGGAGTCATTATTGTCAACCTCAACCTCTGTTCAACTAAGTAAAGGTGCCTTTAGGACTGGCATAGCTGATCGCTCCATCCTCTATCCTGTCCTGGCTGGCCACTGCTCATAGAGTCAGATCCCCTGATTCCACTGGTGGTCAGACAGCTCCTCTCACAGAATTTTGTTTTCATTTAAAAATTTAATAGGTATAAAAGGTACATAAAGGCTATCCTATTTTTTCTTACACCTGCATAATATTCCATATCATGTCTGTATCAGAGATTATTCATCAGTCCCTTATTATTGGGCAATCAGGTTATTTTTAATCATTTGCTTTTATAAGTAATACTCCATGAATAAATTTACACGTAGCATTTTAAACTTAGAATCAGAAAACCAGAGGTTCTCAGAACAACAGAAAAATTGAACAGAGGAAGAGTCTGTTAGAACTTTGATGTTTATATAGTAGGCTGAGGAGTCAGAATTTGAACTCAATCTTACAGACTGTGAGATCTGGAAGGGACCATAGAGATCATTTGATCCAACTCCCTTGTTTTCATGAGTAAACTGAGGCTCAGAGAGATCAGAGCCTGCCTAAGATCACATATCAAGGTGATGGCAGACCCAGGCAGGCATGAATCCCAGACCACTGCACCACACTACCTTCTCTGTCCTGTGCCTTTGCCCCAGTTCTGATGTCTGAGACTAACAGTATTTAGTGCACAACATTGTGAGTCCACTAAATACCATGGAATTGGCCGCTAAGTATCTTACCCTTTAAAATGGTGAATTGTATGCTATGTGAATTTCACCTCAATTTAAAAAAAAAGAAAGCAATGATACAACTTCCTAAGGTGCCTGATGACTTTTGAGGGAGGGTAAGTAGCCATAGGGGAATGGAAATCAGAAATTCTTGTTTGAGTATCCTGAGAAGAAGGCAGGATTCTAGGAGCCATAGAAGTGATGAGAAAAAATGTTTAAACAAAGGCATCTCAAGCTAGGGGCTGCTCCTCCTCAAATTGTGGTCCTGTGTAGGCCCCTTCCCCAGGCCAACCTCTACTTAGACCTTAGGAGGAACCAGTCTTTTCCCTCTGATCCCTGCAGAAAGAAGCAAGAGGTACCATTCTTTGCCCTATGGAACCAACCCCAGGACAGAGCAGGACCCTCCTCCAGCTTTCCATTTCCTAAGTTCTTCCCTGGGGAGATCACCATGGAGTGGAAGGATGAGCACATCAGCAATCTCTTTGCTAGCCCTGGTCACATAACCCTGGGAAGGACTGGAAGGATTAGATTATAGAATTCTGGGACTTTGAGAGCCACGGGACTGGCAAACAGGTTGGGATCCCAAGGGAGCTCTCCTTCAGAGGGGCTAGGGTAGGGGTCTCCTCTCGTTTTGGATCACTCTTGACCAGCCTCATCCTCTAGAAGCAAACCTTCAACATGGCGGCATCTTCTTGAGCTAGTACAACTTTGCTGAGGTCACTATGAGGCCTGGCCCAACCTAAAGTTCAGCGTCAGCAGAATGCTGCTCTACCAATTAGGAAGGGTGTCATGGGGATGAGGCAGGGGGCTTTGCAATGCCCTGGGGTTTCTGAGTTCAGGCTGAACAAGCCCAGCTGGCCAGAAGCAAAGTGATGATGATGGCACAGCCTTCCTGCCTCCCACATCCCAAAGTCAGTTTCACTCTCTCCCACCCTCAGCTACCTCCCATCCCACGCTGTCAATTCTTCCTGCCAAGTGAGCAGCTGAATACAACTTATGGGGCTCCCTTCACCAAAGTGCCTACGTTTTAACGGAATACTCTATAAGGCCCAGAAGAATGACTCCAAAGCTATAAAAAATACTCTAAAGCAGACTCTTCCCTCTGGCACTCCATTCTCAAAGCACTCCACATATAGGCAACTGCCAGGGCCATCTACCTTCTTAAGTTCAATTTCCCCAGCTATACAAATGAGCAGCAAAATCAGGTCATTTTCCAGATCCCTTCCAGCTTTGACATATGAGGTTTTAGCTTCTTGAGATTCCATGGCCTCCCCTTCTGAAAGCACAAACTCCGCCAGCCCTTGTTAGAGGCAGCTAGTCTGTGGTTTGGCACCACTGCCCAGCAGGCATTTATTAAATCAGTATGATATTGTCCCTGCTGGCCTGAAAAGAGAACACTAAGCTCCAAAAACTTCCTGCAGCAGGCCTCCTCTGGAGAGTGCTGCTCAGAGGGGTGAGGAACAAAACCATTCAGATCTCTGGCTGTGCTCCAAGATCCTGTTCACCAGTACTTTTGCCCTGTCTGCACGGAGAACCAGTGACTGAAAACATCTGGAAGCTTGCTTAAGACCTGGGCAACTTCTCTCTCCTTCCTCTGGGAGTGGCTGTTCTTGACCCTGGTAATCCAGGTTGACCTTTGCCAATGCCCCTTCCCATCCAATCTTCTGTACTTCATTCTGCAACAACCCTCTAATAAAATCCACATGAACCCAGCTGCTAACAGCTCCTGGAAAATCTGTAGGCTCTAACACCTGCCCCTGCATTCCTTGAGCCCTAGTAGCAAGGGAAAAGAGGGCTGAGACCCAACTCTTGCGCCTGTGGATCTTACAGTTGAGTTGTGGAGAGAAGGAGTAGGTGGGAGGAGAGAAACACCAGTGATGAAGGTTTGCTGACGGTGGGGAAGGCAGCTGCAGGCAAGGAATGCACAGGTGTGTTGACATGGCTGCTGAGGGGCCCAGGGAGAGCCCCCTATGCCTGGACCTGCCTCATTCCCAGTGACCTAAGTCATGCTGACAAAGGCCCACCCCATTTTTCCTTGAATAATTAATTAGAAACTCAAGGAGCTTTGGTCTCCCCAGGTCACAGAGGAGGAGAGACAGGCAACCTTGGACCACTGGGTTTGTGACACATGCGCTCCAGCCCTGCAGCCTAGTCAGACCTCTGACTTTAGCTAGAGGGAATCCTATGTCCATACACTATACCCCAGAGAAGCTAAGAGTTAGGGAGTCAAAACGGTAGAGGCCCAATACTGCCAGCATGGCTCCTCCTGCCCCTGGAATCCTAAGCACTCTCACCCTACCTCACCGGTGTCTTCCAGACTTTGTGACCTGTAGTCACACAGGATTCTCAAGTGAGAAGGACTGGAGGGCAGGAATCAGGTCTGCTCTACTCATTGATGTATCTCTCCCCTGCACCAGGCATATGCAGAGCATGTTGTACATACTCAGTAAATTTTTCCTTGAATAATGAATTAGAGACTCAAAGAACTTTGGTCTCCCCAGGTCACAGACGAGAGAGGAGAGACAGGCAACCTTGGACCACTGGGTTTCTTCTCTCCACCAAGTGCAAAAGTCCAAGAAATACACAAACACAATAGGTGAGAAGGACAGATAAGCTACTTGAGGTTTATTTATAAAGTATAAGGATGCATTTACTAGGCCTGACTTTTTTTAAAAAAAAAAACTCCTCCTTTGCTTTCTTTTCCACCCAGCTGAGGTTTTTTGCTTGCTCTCATCTGAAAGTCCTAAGCTGACTTCATTAGGTTATCGATTCTTTGCTGTGATGAGCCAAAGACCAGTACAACATTCCCTGGAGCTGGAGGGTGGGTTAATCTCAGAAGGCTCTCAAGGATCCTATCGAGGCCAATCTGGAGAAAGCCAAATGACTGCTCCTGACAGCTCAGGCTGCTGTGGAGCAGAGAAATTGGTGTCCTTCTTGGAGCGCTGCCTTCATCTCCTTGAACTGAGCCAACTGGCAGGCCTCATCCAGCCCCAGCCAGCGGTAGGTCTGGTGCTCGTGGGAGAGGCGGATCTCCACATCATAGTCCTTTACCTCCGCCAGCCAGTAGATGACTGTTTTAGGCTTCTCCCTGGCCACATAATTGAGCTCCCTTCTGAACCCCTCAATGATGGTCAGCTGGTCTGCTTCTATGCCCGCTTCCTCCCAAGTCTCCCTCAGGGCTGTTTCCAAGTCATTTTCTCCTGGATCCACGTGGCCTGGTCAGGGAAGAAGAAGAGAAGGAGAAAATCTTCAACGGCTCTAAAAGCTGTATTTTCCAGGTCAGATGATTTAAAGATGGGGTCTTGAGTGACTTTTCTAGGTGTTCCTAAAGGAAGCTTAGAGATTGACCATATCCTAAAATGCCTGGGAAGGGAGTGCAGGGCAGGTCTGTCTGGCTCTGTGGGGCCTGGGCAATCCTTCTCTCCCACCCCATCTTTTCTGCAAAGAGTGAAACAGACCATGTGTTTGGCAAGTCTGGTTTAGAATACTGCTTTTTGATGGTGAAAGAGGTGGCCTCCCCCAGACCTCAGCTTTCTCATTCTTTGGCGCTCTGTTCATCCCATGTTCTCAGGGTCCACTTTTCCCTTGGAGACTTCAAAGTGATTTTCCAAAGAAGGAGCAGTCCCTTCTTGGCAGGTGGAGAGCAAGCTGAAGAGGGAATACTTTGCCTACAATCCACAGTGAGGTCTTAACACTGTCTGCAGTTGGACCCAGAAGTCCTGGGGCCAGCAGACAGTCTCAAAACCCTGAACTGCTGCACTAGCAGCTGTTTCCAAGTAGCTATTAAGGCTTTTTCCATATTGTTTTCATCTTTCCGAGCAGGGGCAGATTTCAGTTTCATAGGGAAAGTCCTGATGGGAACTTAGACTAAGGACAAGCTGAGAGCCAGTTCTAAGAAAATTTATTGGCAAGATCCGAACCCAGGCAGAAAGCTGCCAAGAAACTGTTGTAAGAGAACTTGAAGCTTTGCAGACTGGGAGCAGCCTGTGTTTTGCCTCTAGGCCCTCCCCACAAATTCTCAGCTTGTCCAGGGGGGCTAAGAAGGACTGAGAGGGATCTGGCCACATTAGGCCATATTCCCCTGCACATGTAGTTTCCTCAGGAAGGGCTGCATCCCAGCTCACCTGCAGCCTCTGCCTACACATGACCCTGGTAATGCTCATGGGAAGCAGAAACTCTTAGTTGTTCCCTTCTTGGTGTGAAGATGAGGCTATACCCTAGTCCTCTTCCTTACCAGGGGTCCTCATAGCAGTGCTCTGAGTCAGCTGCTTTTGCACAGCTCCCACAGAAAACACCCAGGAGCTTAGCACTTAAAAACCCATTCTAGCTCATGGTTTCTGGGAAATTTTCTCTGTATAGCACCTTGTATAGCCATGTACACAAAGACAAGTAGGTAGGTAATACATTGGGTGGGGGGATGGTGGGGGGTATGCGCCCACCAAGCATGCTCTTGGTGACAGAGGTGACAATGACCCAGGATGCCCTACCCCCTGCAGAGGTGTGTGTGAGTCCCTGAGCACACCCATCCCAGCAGCATCTATTCAGTATTCTCCCCATCAATGTTAACAGGGTAACTTCTCTCCAGGCCCAAGCAGGAAAGGATTAGGAAAGGTCTTTGACATCTTTCAGTAAGAGGCAGCATGCAGTGTGATTTAGGTCATCAGCAGACAAGTGCAAGTATTCCTATTCATAGTATTTGTGACACTTCTGTTCCTTTTCTTCACCTTGTTTCCCCACTCAATGCATTTCAAATATGCAAAAGGTGTTTATTTCCTGTTTCTATTTCCTTGTTATCCTCCAATCCTGGATCCTTGTCCATCTTTACCTCCACCCTACTTTTAAAGTCCCTGCTTCCTTCTGCCTGCAGACTGATCACTCTGGTTCCTCATCCTAGCAGGTCCCAGAGCCATAGTCTGTCAGTGACCACGGGGACCATCCCAATGGTCTCAGCCAAAGACAGCTCTTTCTTCCCATTTCTTCCTCACAGACTGGCTTCTCTTTCAGGATTATCCAACCACAGCTTTCTTACTCTTAGAGCTGGGATTAGAAATGATGGCTGATAAAAACCAGTCAACTTACAAACAGAGCTTGGCCTGACCTAAGAGCCCAGGTCACTAATCTTCACTGTTCTGTCCTACTGAGGCTTGGCCAACTCCATGCTGGGTGCTCAGTGATGGACCCAGGGCATAGGTGGCTGGTCAAGCTGCAGCCCCAAGGTCTCCACAATCCTCACAGGGGTTCTTTCCTTCCTTCACTCCTCCATTCCTGCCAGAATTTGCAGATAAATCCATGATCAGGGAACCCACCTTCTCTGTGCTCCTAACTCAAGACATAAGTATACTCAGAAATTCTCCAGAAATCATATCCTCTGTGTATTGAATTCAACAGAAAAACCTAGTGATGAGGACACATAACTAAGAGTCAAAAGAACTCAATCAAATGAAGTCATAGATGGTTAGGGCTGGAAGGAAACTTAGGATTTTCTAGTTCAACTCTTTGACTGACAGATGAAAAACTCAAGCCCAGGGAGCTGGGTCAGGACTTGACTCCAAGGTCCCTGATGCCCAGCTCAGTGCCTTTTCTGCTACTCAACTATTTACCACAGAGGCTGGTGCTCTGATGAATGTTACTCTCAAAATAACCAGGTGCTGCTTTTGGTCTGGGAGTCAGTCACAGGATTCTATTTCTAGCTCCACCTTGGCCTGGGACGGAGACCTTGTATCTAGAAAGGATCAAGAGCTCCTGTCCACCCTACCCCCTCTTGCTGAACAGTCTCTGGGAAGTAAGCCTTGTGGGGGGCCTGGCAGGGTGGATTTCTGAGCATTTCCCCAAGAGCCAACCCCCTGGTCTCATACCTTTGGGAGGAGTCCAGTGATGAATGCCATCTGATGCCTGCAGCAGTAGAAACTCAATTGAACTGTTGTCTACCTTGGGAATGAGGCGTCTTCGGAAGATGATCAAGCCACATGCTCTCAGGGCCATCGTGTATCTAAGGACTTAAAAAAGAAAATGTGAGACACTGGGAAGTTATAAGAAGATCCATACTGGGGGGCAGTACCCTGAAGCTGGGGAGTAGCACAGACTAGCTAACAGTGACCTCATCACCCACAGAAAAAGGCAGCATGCCAAGGAACAATGGGGGAAACCAGGAATCAGAGATGGAACTTTGTGTGTAACTGTAAGACCCTGGCAACTACCCTCTGTCAATGTGACCTCCACCTCAACTCCTCCAGGTCTTCCTGCTAAAACACAGGCATGGTGTACGTTAAGAGACTGGAGATCCTCGGAAGTAAACCCACTGAAACTCTCGTGGACTGGGAGGGATCTGGCCACGTTCGTTTCAGTGGGTTTGCTTCGGAGGATCTCCAGTCAGCAGGACCTTTTCTACAGGATTCCAGAACCAAAGAAAAAGCTGGTGCTCAGGGACAGCAGAGCTGATGCAGAGAGAGCTCCTGGAGTAGGAACTGCTGCTCTCCACAGCCCCATGTTGGCACTCAATCAAGATAAACTTGCTTCTGTCAGAGACATAAAAATCAGGCCCAAACTGAAACCTACTCCAGGGCAATTCTCAGGGCTGCCAACAGAGGGTAATGTTACTCTAGGGATCAGTACCTTCCTTACTAGGAAAGGAAGGAGCTGTTCCTCATCAAAAAATATCAAACACACACAATATGGCAACCTTTCCAAATTTCTAAACCTGGAAACAACAGTTTTCAAGGATTGGAAATAATCTCAAAGAGGGTTTTCAAAATGGTCTATGCTCTCATAACTGCTGGTGGAAGAGTAAACTAGCATATCTCCTTAGGGCGGTTTGATAATAATAGTTTGGTATATAATCAAAATGTAAATTGCAGTTCCCTCAGACCTAGCAATTCCATTTCTAGGCACTTCCACATACAGAAATACATGTTTTAAAGGTACATACAAGGATGATCACTACAACCTTATTTGCAATATCAAAAAGAAAAAAGGGCAAAAACCAAATATCCATTAATAGGGAAATGGTAAAATATATCTATATGATGGAATATTATGAAGCCATTTAAAAAATGAGATAGAGCTAAATGTACTGCTTGTAAGATTTTCAGACATATTAAATAAAAAAGCACTATTCAGAATAGTACTTATAATGTGATCCTGTTTTGAGTTAAATATATATATGTAAAGTGGTGGTAAGCTCTTATTAAATACTGTGTTCTATTTCCTTGTACTCCCTTTTTACGCTGAGAACTTTCTCCATTCTGGAAGCCAGAAGGAAGTACCCTGTCACTGCAGATGGTGAACAAAGATTTCAAATTACTGGTTAGTGGTTCAGGCAGAAAGAAATACCTGATCCTCATGCTCCTTCCAATAAAAATGCTCAGAAAAACACTAAATAAGACAATAGATAAGCAGTAACTTTGGTGAAGGGGTAAGACAGTACACAATACTGGGGAAGCCAGAACTTGTACAAGGCAAGGTCATGGAAGCTCTATAGACACATCTAAACTCCCTGAGGGACCGAATTGCTGGGCTGAGGGCTGTAGGGACCACGTTCTCAGGGAACATCTAGCTCAACTGGCATAACACAGTTTATAAAGAAAATGTTCTACGTTCTACTTTGGTGAGTAGCGTCTGGGGTCTTCAAAGCCTGTGAGTGGCCATCTAAGATACTCCACTGTTCTCACTCCTGCAGAAGCAAGGGAGAATGAAGAAAACTAAACATACAAGGGAAAGATTAGTCCAAAGGACTAATGGACCACATCTACCACTGCTGCCACCAGTGAATCCAGTACAACTAGATGGTGCCCGGCCACTACCACTGACTGCTCTGACAGGGATCAAAACAGAGAGTCCTGGATAGAGCTGCAGAAAAATGTAGAACAAAATTCTAACTCACAAAAAAAGACCAGACTGACTGGCCTCACAGAGACTAGAGAAACCTCGAGAGTATGGCCCCTGGACACCCTTTTAGCTCAGTAATGAAGTCACTCCCTAGGTTCACCCTTCAGCCACAGATTAGACAGGCCCATAAAACAAAACAAGACTAAAGGTGCAAGACAGCCCAGGGATAAGGTCTAGAAAGCAAGAGGGACAAGAAAAGCTGGTAATAGGGAACCCAAGGTCGAGAAGGAAGAGTGTTGACATGTCGGGGGGGTTGTTAACCAATGTCATAAAACAGTATGTGTACTGTTTAATGAGAAACTAGCTTGTTCTGTAAAATTTCAACTAAAGTACAATAAAAATACATGAGACTAAATGGACAGCTGCCGTCCGGAGGAGAGATGAGAAGGCAGAGAGCGTCAGGAGCTGGCTGAATGGACACAGGAAAATCAGGGGTAGAAAGGAGGAATGTGCTGTCACAGTACAGGGAGAGCAACTAGGATCACATAACAATGTATGTATGGACTTTTGTATGAGAGACTAATTTGAATTGTAAACTTTCACTTAAAGTACAATAAAATAAAATAAAGTACAATAAAAAATAAACTATGATAAAAAAATATATAAAATGCTCAGAAAGTTGTAGAAAGATATATCATACCTTGCTCCTGCCTTGGGTAGAGTACCATGGAATGAATGTTGGAACCCCCAGATAAGCTTAGGGATCCAAGACTAGAGGGCACAATGCTCTGCCTAGGACAGAGCATTCCTCCACACCACTGCCACCATCGATACAGCATGGGAAAGCAAAGATGCCTGCATGAGGGCTAAGTAAGACAGGTCAGGGGTGGCCTTGTGGAGCCACTGGGAAGAGAGAAGCAGGCAAATATTTTCCTACGGGGGTGTTTAGGGTATTGAAAAGGAGCACTCTAGCAAAAACGTGCACAGGTGGCCACATCTAAGAATCAGACCGGCCAACTATTCATCTCAATGGAACCAGAAGAGCTAGGACCAGATGTTCACTTTCCACCTATGCTCTGGACCCATGGAGAGGACAGTTCTACAGAGGCAGAATTCCTCATTGCCCTTTCAATTGTTTGGCTTGGGCCAGCTATTCTCTATTTAGAATTTCTGGTGTTGGGCCTGAACTCTTTACAGATCAGTTTGGCCAGCAGTTGGGAAGAAAAGCTGAATATAAAGTGGAGGAGAGTAAGCACAAACTAGAACCTGTGAGAACAAACTGGAACCTACGAGGAGAACAACTGGAACTCATGGGGACAAACTGGAACCTGTGACTTCCTCTCACCATCTCCAAGCACAGTGATGTAAGTGACCTGCAGAAGCTGGAGCTCTCTGTCATAGAGCTGAATGCCCACCTGGTCCAGGACTCAAAAGTAGATAAAGGAGGAGATTTAGCAGGAGCTGGGGAACCTGTAGGCCTGGGTTCTGTCTTTTGCCAACAAGGTGAGCCAGCAGATCTGTGTCAATGTTCATGCACTGCCACCATGCCTGGTGTCCCACTCTGTCCTTCACAGTATAAAAACTCTTACTTCACTTCAGCTTTCCAAATCTTACACAAAATTCTCTTGTGGTTAACCCTAATCTGGAACTAGACAGGCAGGGAATCCTGGGAAACACAGGTTCCAGCCTAGCTAAATCAACACAGTGCAAAGCTACCACAGTACAAAGCACGTATACCTAATGCAGTAAATCTCTGTTTGTACCTCTGGGTACAGGGAAGAGACAGACTGAATCTGTTTCCTTGGGGACCAGCACACCAACTCTCAACAGATGTTCACTGATTCAACAGAACTCTCTCCACACTTCCCACTAAAACAAATGCTCAGGGTATGTTCTGGGGCCCTGGGAAAAAGCCCAGTGTTTTCCTGAAGAGTGACATTTACATAAAAATCAATGGAGCTATTGTTGGGAGTTTTCTGTTTTTCTGGAGATCATGGAGCTGACACTGTTCTGGGGTTTGAAAGTAGCCAGCTTTCACAAACTGACTCCAAATGGACTCAAACCTCAGGGGGTTAAGGAACAAGGCATCCAATATGCAAATATGCCTGCAGCCAGGACTGCCGAGGTGAGAACTCCACGCTGACAGCAGGCAATTCACAGTTCAGAAAAGTGGCAAAGTGCCTGAGGTGCTTAGAAAAAAACCTGAACAAAAAACCCTCAATGTCATCAGAAGGTTCCAGAAGCTAAGGAAAACTGCTCTTGGCTTTGTCTCTATATGCAATTCCCTCACAGCATAGAAGGTTCAGGACCTAGGTGCCAAAAAAGAATCCACAGATAAATGGCTATATGGATGTGTTGTGTTCCAATGTTCTCATCAAATTAATCAGAGTGCTATTGCGGGCATAGTTCAACCCCAAAAGCCCTCATAAATATACCTTTAGATACAGAAAGAGCTCCCAACTCCACCCTCACTCATTCCCCATAGTCTAAAACCCCTTTGACAAGAACAGTGTTTCATGCCACGATGTTATCCATTATTAAGTGCCTATGCTGTAACAACAACCCTGGTGGTGCAGTGGTTAACTGCTTCGCTGCTAGCCAAAAGGTTGGTGGTTCAAACCTACCAGCCCCGCTCTGTCGAAGAAAGATGAATCAGTCTTCTTGCATAAAGGTTACAGCCTCGGAAACTCTATGGGGTATTTCTACTCTGTCCTGTAGGGTCTCTATGAGTTGGAATTGACTTGACAGCAGTGCATTTGGTTTTTGGTTTTGGATGCTGTGACAGCTACACAGTGCCAAGTTCTTTACATATACTGTTTCTAATGCTCATGACCACCCGTCAAGAGAAGCATTATTATCTCATTTACGATGAGAAAACTGAGAGCAGAGCTGGTTTGTAAATGACTAAGTTGGGATTTGAATCCAAGTATATCTGACTCCAAAAGTCTGTATTTTTTCCCTTATATAGCTCTGCTCACCATTAAAGAGTAGGGCTTAGCGCACACATGGCCCTGAGAAAGAACATACAAATGATTTATAAAATTACTTCTACTTCCAGAATTCCCAGTCTTTGATCTCAATTCAAATGGAGGTTTTTTAAAATGTCTGGCTGGAATCCTGTCCCACAGAACAGGTTTCAGTTTTTTTGTTTTGGTTTGAGGTATGTATGTGTGAGTGGGGGGTGAGGGGCACATAGGTGAAGGTCCTGGTACCCAAAGAAAAACCTAGAGGGATAAAGTGTAGCCTGGGGCACTTAAAATTTGCTATCTATTAAGGAGTTCTATGCCTCCTCTGCTCTTTTCTGGGAACCAGGAACCCAAAACCACATGTTCAAAGCCACCTCCAGTAGCCTGGGGATCCCAAATCCCAGGTGTTAAGAACACTCTTAAGCTAGCCTTGAACAAGAAACACAAGCATCTAATTTAGGGCCCTGATGTCCAGGAAATTTCCCCAGGTCACTCCACTGTGAGGAGGAAGGCCAACTGTGCCTGTCCACAAGCAATTCTCTAACTGCTCAACGTTCCCTCACCTCCCATAGCATAATGGTCTTTTCTTCAATTCTCCAACTCCTTTCATCCCTCTAGAAGGAGGCGACAGAAATGAGGCCATATATCCATGAATAAAACTCTCTTATAACAGCAACAACAGTAAGCACAACAACAAAAACAGAAAAAAGAAAAAGAAAAAAAGCTCCCAACTACCATGAGTAAATTGAGACAAAGTAAATGTTCCCTCAATTGCACCTTTTCCTGGACATCTGCCACTCTCTTCTTCTTACAGAGAGAAAGCTGCTGAGTCATCTTGCTATCTTTGCTATTTGGCTGAGGGAAGAAACAGGAGATTTCACCTGTAATGAAATGAGTATTGGCTTCTAGGATGAATCCAAAGTCAGACAAGGTTGGGACAGAAATCAGTCTTAGTGAGGGTAATCTGTTAAACGGCCTGTTAGTGCCATCTGCTGTGCAGTCCTGGAAGGCAAACAAGGGGAATTCTAATATTAAAGCTTGAAGGGATTATTTTATTCATCTAATGGAAGTAGTTAAGAGCTCAGGCTGCTAACAAAAAGGTCAGCAGTTCGAATCCACCAGCTGCTCCTTGGAAACCCAATGAAGCAGTTCTACTCTGTCCTACAGGGTCGTTATGAGTTGGAATCGATTTGACGGGAAACAACAACGTCTGCTGAGTGTGTCCCATGAGACAGGCAGTGTAACAGGATTGATGGGTAGATATGAAGTTGAATACTACAAAGTCCCTGCTTTCTAGGAGTTTGCAGCCTAGTGGGAGTGGAAGACATTTAAACAATTTACAGTCTGTTTACAGTGTGTTTGGGCTTAAGCACAGCAACGATTGTGAGGATGGCACAGGACCAGGCAGTGTTTTCTTCTGTTGTACACGGGGTCACTATGAGTCGGAACCGTCTCTATGGCACCTAATAACAACATTTGTGTATCACAGGGGTATGTGTAAGATGAAAAGGTAGCAAAGAAGGAGTGATTGATTACCTTTAGGTAAAAGGGGTACCCCATAAGGATTCTGAACGATGGCTGGGAGTTTACCAAGCAGAATGAAGGTGAAGGCAACTGTCATTCCACGCAAAGGAAGGAGTGTGGGCAAACATGCTTAAGCACAAGATGACATTTCATTGGTAAACAGCTTAGTGTACATTCTGTAGAAAATGAGGAATACTTGACTGGTTTTAGGCAAGGCTTTAATATGGTCAGATTGACATTATACAAGGACATTCTGGCAGCAGCATGGAGAACAAATTAGAAGAAGGAAAGATTGGAGGCAAGAGACCAGTTAGGAGCCTGTTGTCAACAATCCAAATGAGAGATGATGTGCAGTTAAATTAAGGCAGAGGCAGTGCAGAAGGAGAGGAGGGGATGAATTTGATATTTCAAAAATAAAATCAACAATAGTTGATGTTTCATTTTCTGAGGGAGGGAGAGAAAAGTGGAAAAAGACTCCCAGGGTTTCAGTTTGAGTGACTGGGTAAAAGAGAAGAAGGTGGAAGAGAGGGTAGAATGTAAGCTAATGGCTTCTGTTTGGGACAAGTTGAATTTTAAATGATGCAGACTACCCACAAGGTGGAGCCCTGGTGGTACAGTGGTTAAGAGCAGGGCTGCTAACCAAAAAGTGTAGTTGAAATCCACCAGCTGCTCCTTGGAAACCCTATGGGGCAGTTCTACCCTGTCCTATAAGGTCTCTGTGAGTAAGAATTGATTTGACGACAATGGTTTTAGTTTTGATTTTTGTTACTTAGAGCAATATACTTCCGTAAGCTTTGTTCCTCATTTATAAAATGAGGTTAACACTCTTCATGGTTGCTGTAGGCATTAAAATAAGTAACATATATACAGGGTCTGACATATTAGAGGTGCTGAATAAATACGTATATATGATATATGCCCTTATCCTTGTATTATAAACAGATCATCAGAAAGCTTCTCTGTTTTGTTTTAATGGTACGCTCTTAGCTTTTACCAAGAAATGGCTTTTCGTATTTTCGGAACTACTGGTGAACACACTGTTCATCACATCATGTGATATTCCTCATGTATAAGGTCCCACAAGATAAACTCCTTTTAATATAGGTACTAGGAAAAAAAACTCCTCTGAAGAACTGGTTTATTTCCTTAATTATTAGTGAGAATTAGATAACTCATTGTTCCATTTTTACCTTAACTGACAAGTTTTGAACTGAATTGAGCACTTAATTACAATAAGGCTATGTGCCCCCTTGGCCAGTATATTTGCTTCTTCCTATTATGAGGATACTAGCGACTATTTTTTGAAGACGTACTACTTGCCAGGTACCTTCATTATTTCACTTAATCTTCACAACAACCTAAGGCATTCCTGCCATTTTTCAGAAGAGGAAAAAGGAAACTATGGCTCAGAAACAAAAATCCTCACAACTGGATTTTAAGCAACATCATGATAAATGCAGAAAAGACTGAAGTTGTCAAGGATTTCATTTTGCTTGGATGCACAATCAACACCCATGGAAGCAGCAGTCAACAAATCAAAAGACACATTTCTTTGGGGAAATCTCCTGCAAAAGACCTCTTTAAAGTGTTGAAAAGCAAAGATGTCACCCTGAAGACTAAGGTGCGCCTGACCCAAGCCATAGGGTTTTCAATAGCCTCGCAGGCATGCAAAAGCTGGATGATGAATAAGGAATACCGAAGAAGAACTGACGCCTTTGAATTGTAGTACTGGAGAAGAATACTGAATATACCATGGACTGACAAAAGAATGAACAAATCTGTCTTGGAAGAAGTACAACCAGAATGCTCCTTAGAAGCAAGTACGGCAAGACTATATCTCACATATTTTGGGTATGTTATCAGGAGGGAGTCCCTGGAGAAGGACATTATGCTTGGTAAAGCAGAGGGTCAGCGAAGAAGAGGAAGACCCTCAATGAGATGGACTGACACAGTGGCTGCAACAATGGGTACAAGCATAACAAAGATTGTGGGCGTGGCGCAGGACCAGGCAGTGTTCACTTCTGTCGTACATAGGGTTGCTGTGAGTAGGAACTGACTTTACAGCACCTAACAACAACAAAAACATAGCTCAGAAATGTTCAGTGACCTGCCCAAGGATCCACAGCTAGTAGCAGCCAGGTAGTGACTCAAATGCAGGTCTGCCTGACTCCAATACCATACTTTTTTTTTTTAATTGTACTTTAAGTGAAAGTTTACAGTTCAAGTCAGTTTCTCACACAAAAACTTACACACACATTGCTATGTGACTCTAGCTGCTCTCCCTATAATGTGACAGCACCCTCTTCGTTTCCACCCCGGATTTCCTGTGTCCATTCAACCAGCTCCTGTCCTTTTTTGCCTTCTCATCTCGCCTCCAGACAGGAGCTGCCCATTTAGTCTCATGTATCTACTTAAACTAAGAAGCACTCTCTTCATGAGTATCATTTTATGTCCTATAGTCCAGTCTAATCTTTGTCTGACGAGTTGGTTTTGGGAATGGTTTCAGGTCTGGGCTAACGGAGAGTCTGGGGGCCATGTCTTCCAGGGTCCCTCCAGTCTCAGACAGACCATTAAGTCTGGTCTTTTTACTAGAATTTGAGTTCTGTACCCTACTTTCCTCC